CATGCTCATGGTGGGTCTTAGAAGAACCATAAGGGCTTAGGAATGCAAGGCAAAAGTGAAGATGATGAATGGGAGGAACTTGATTTGAAATTGTTTGGATGAAATAAAAAAGAGAGAGAAAGCCAAGGACTTAAAAAATTAAACCTTTGAAGTATATAGACCTCCTAAAGGACCCACTTTGAGCCCTAGGAACTTAGAAAACAGATTTTCCAAGAGTGTGAGCAAACTGGCTTATAGCATAGGGAAATTTTCATTCAAACTTACGGCCCACTCTTACCTCTTTAAAACCCATAATGATGTCATTAATTTTTACTTTGTCATTGAACTCCAAGGCACTTAGGCAGCTGTGCCCATATGCCTTTTGTATATTATTTTTGCATAATTCAATCATATTTGATTGACATATGGAAATGGAGTTGTGTGTTTTATTAAGGATAAACAACACCCTTTAGAAATGTCCTCATGTTTCTCATCTTTGGTTCTAACTAAGTACGGATTGTCAGTGGAGGGCTTGCACAATGTAGTGACTGTTTACCCTCATGGTCACATGGCTGACCTGTGACTGCAGCCTTGTAACTACTGCTGTACTTGGCAAGAGTCTGGAATAATATACAACACTGTATCAGGAAAATACTAGAGTTTCATTAGAAATATGGTTAGTAGTGACTACATATCACATCTACACCATTTTAAGTCAGAGTCCAAACTCAAGCTATTGTAAGTTGGATCTTGAGTATATAAATTAGAAATTTGCTAACCTTTGGCGGTGGCAGCACTAAGATCACAAATGTCTAAGTTGTATTTTTAAGTTATGAATGGAAATTGAAAAGTATTAGCTCAGTAACTAGGATTCTAGCAATAAGTTTCACTAGAGAATTTACTTTGTAGAGGTATTAATTAAAAGAGATTAACTTCCCGCTCTAAGATCAGAGTAACACTTTTTTTCATTAGTAAGCAGCGTTGCTTATAGATTCTCTTATAGGTGAAACTGAGGAAAGGCCAGAGTATCATTCTAACATAATATATATTATAAGCACATCTAGGACAGATTTTTTATTTTTTGACACATGAACTTTATTCACAAGGTTTTGTTATTTATGTATGTAGTTCTCAAATAGTTACTCCTTTGAAATTCATCAAATCTAACAAATTTCTTTCACTAGCATTCAACACTGCCAATAGAAAATAGTATAATTCCTTAAAAGTCTCTTCAACACACAAAAAAATACATTTTTTTTCTATTCAGACATATGAACAACGACTGACCACGAATAACTTCAGTTTTAAAAGTTAGAGGATATAGCATTGTCAACTAATTTTCTTAAAAGTTAAACATAAATAAAGCAGTCAAGGACAAGGAGCTTTTGATTCACGGTTGTCCATTGGAAACTCTGGCATTCCAGACCAACGTGGACAGGGTGTGAAGGTAGATTCTCTTCTGAACTTTCAAGATGTTTTTCTTTCTTCTCTAAAGACACATGGTGGCCTTGAATACAAAACCCAGAAATAAAGAAAACGTTAAGACCCTGCCAGGGATGCAAATCTAACAAGCACGTTCTAGACTAAGGGTGTTTAAGGAAGGCTTGCCGATTGTGTCAGCAGATAAAGGCACTTGCTGTCCAGAGTGATGACTTGATTTCAGTCTGTGGGGCCCACCACAAAGGAAGACCCACTTCCCACATATTGCCTTCAGACATCAGTGTGTATGACACAGTGGGATGGATATGCACATGCACACGCACACCTACATCATGCACACGTGTGTACACACACACCAAGTGAACAACAAAATCAACCCCCTGAAATTATGACGTGAGGTTTTTTAGTGTGCTCACATGTGTGGCAACATGAAAGTAACTCCCATCTCTCTTTTGTGTTTAGATTCTCATACTTTGTTATGCCCTTTCTGCATTTTAGGTGTTATATTATTAGCTCACACTAATGCTTATTCTAACATGACTGTTTCCTAGCCATCTTCTTGTCATACATCAATATTAGAGGCTTATTTTTTATCTATCTCTGATTTCTCTGAGTAATCTCATTGGGGATTAGAGCATAGTTTGAGCAAGTCAGTCTGTGAGTATAGTACCTACTCAGTGTGAGCAAGTATTGGGGAGCTGAGTCAGAAGATACAGGGGTATAAATGGAGGATGGTTTATAGGAAAGTTCTATTGAATGATGTTAGAAACTCAGTTCTGGAAGTTGTTAGGGAAAGAGATTCCAAGAGTCTTCTAGGCACACAGCAGGCATCTGAAAGCTCTGATATTAACTATTACTCACATACACAAGAAACAAAGAGCTAAAAGACACACTTTCAGTCATAGCCATTTGGAGTGGCAAAGAGGATGTGGGAATAACTTCTTAGAATATATCTGACTTATATGCTATGCTTAAAAAAACTCAGTCAAGTTTTTATAAGAGAGAGGATTTCCTTAACAATAGTTGGAGCAAAGTCATTTGTGATGAGTGACTAATAGTAGCCTCAAGGTATTTTGAAGAAATGATAGAATTTTACATTATGAGCTATATTTTGTTGCACAGATAACTCACCAAACTCTCAATTTTCAGGAGAGTCTTTTCCATGGAAAAATCAAAGAGATTGATCTACAAGTGTATTATCCCTCTTATCTGAAAGGGATGGACTGCGTGTTTAATAACAAATATATTTTTTTGTATTGAATCTGGGAGAACTTTCAGTTTTAAATGTCTTGAACATATTTGCAACATGTTAGAGAAAACTTAACCTGTAATGGCAATTGAAATAACTGATGTGAAAATAAGAAAATATCTTCACTTATAAAATAAACGTGTGGGATGATGGGGGAAGCTGGTCCAAGGGAAATAGTATCAGGATGAACATGCTCATGGACATTGTCTTAATACATGGTAACTCTAGTTAATCATAAGGTTTTATAGGCTTTAAAACTGCTGAGGAGCAGCATGTTGAATGTTGTTACCATAGGAAATGAGAAGTGCACAGGGCAATGAATATATTAATTAGCTTTATTTAGTCACTGAGTACTGTATTCCCATATTAAAACATCACTTAGTATACCATATATATGGCATACATGGGTTATACATATATATATAACATATATACACATATATCATCCCATATAACTTATACATATATATAAAACATATGCCATATATGTGGTATACAGAGTGATTATACCTCTCTATAAATATATAAAGTGATTGTTACATATACATGATTTGTTATAGATTTTGTTAGTTATAACTCCTTCACAAATCTGGAAGAAAATAGCAAAAGGGTTTTAAATTATTATTATTGTTGGTGTATCATGGTTTTTCCTGTGCTTTCAAATAAGTTACATGTGAAGATGATGTTATTTTTGATATTTAAGAATAATTGGAGATGCTGCTGCTGTTATGTGTAAATGAAAGGAGTCATGGGGTGTATTCCCTTTGTTTGCTGAAATGATTTACACATAAAGCTCACAGAAGCAACAATATTCATAATTTTGAGGCAAGAACTGATTAATCAGAATAAAGTCATTTTTGGATAGGTGATATGAAGTGGAACTTGCAATAAGATTTCCTTTGCTAATTTTAAGGTAGAATTTTTGGTATGTGTCAACATTCCTTTGATAAATTTTAATGAATATAAAATCATATTCTCCTCATGTTATAGTGAATACAGAAAGAAAAATTCCTTCATAGGTTCTTATTGTTTAAAAGGCATGATTCTTTTTTTAGTGAGAATTCAATGCTAAATCAAGTTTTTGTTAGATCTGATATTTTATGTTATTTTAGGCATGTTTTCTTGAAGTGACCGTGCATACTAATTAGAAAGAAAATAATTTATTGGGAGCTGTATGAAGTACAGCCCTGCAAATGGTATGAGCTTTTCCCAAGGATCCATATTGTCCTTGGACTTGGCTGTTGTATTATGCTTTAAATGGAATTGATTGTGTGGTTGTAATGAAAGTAACAGATTGATTTCTATCCAGTCTCACAAAGAGTAAATAGAGAAGCGTCCCTGTCTTGACCTACATTCATAACCAATGTGATTTGCTGGATTTAAACCCAAATCTTATGAGAGATAAAATGCAAATATAATGAGGCTGCTCTCAGAGTTTAAATTTTTTAAATAGTCCTCACTGATTTCTCAGGTTCTATGTGTTGTGTTAATTAGATCATAGTCACCTAAGAAATACTTCTTTCTTTAAAGCTTTTGCATAATTTCTCATGAAAGGAGCATTCCTAAACTCATGCCTTTATGTTTATTCTACGATATTAGAATGGATTATGAAACAGTAGTGTATTTTTTCAACATCCTAAAGTTTGAATGATATTTTAGTGATTCAAGCCAATGAAGTTGTTTTAACTTAGGATTTATTGACTTTATTTAGAATTAACATAAAATATTTTTGTTGGTGAAGTATACTGTGAAATACTAGGAAAGACACAACATTACTACATTTTACTAGCACATCGTAGTTACGATTTTTGTGAAGCAATGTTTCTACTGAATTGAATTATCTTGACTAAGAAATGGAATGTTTGCAACAACAAGCCCAGTGTTTCTTTCATCTTCTTCTGATAATTTAGAAGATAAACACATATAAGTATTACAGTTATACATTTATTTTTTAATTCTAGCAGTCAGGACTGTGAAAGCCTGGCTCCTATTTATCCTTTTATAGTAAGGAAACAAAACAAAGAGTTTTGAATTTGATAACTTCATTTTGTTATGAATGAAGAAATGAAAGAAGAAGAAAAAAAACTCAGAAAACACAACAAAAAACCACCCAACAATTCATCTGGAAGGAGCAGTTCTTTCACACATTCTGTGACTCTTTTGGATTTGTTTTATGTTTGGGTAAAACACTTTAGTATAATGATGCCTAAATGAGACAAAACAAAACAAAATAAAAACAAGATGAAACACAGAAAAGTTAGAAATGACAAAAAGAAGAAACAAAACAAAAAACCAACTAACACATTTGACTCCTGGTGTTTCCGAGTTGCAGCTCCAAGTGCTATTCTTCCCAACCCACTCGATTACCCTGCAGGTTGTGGCAGACAATTCCTAGGCAAAGCTTAGACATGGAGCCTGCATGCTTCTTGACTCCATTTTAAACCTTTTGTTCACACCAGGGTGGCATTTTTTCACACCGCATGTGGCAATTTTGACTCCTATCCAACTTGTCTTGCAAAATCAAAGTCTGTGATTTTTTTTTTACACCCACAAGGCGCTTCCTGAGCTGTGGCTGAGAGTGAGTCCTTCCTTAGCGATTGGTGCAGAAGTTTAGAGCAAAAATGTGTTTGGAGAGAGAGGCAGAAGACAGCAGTATGAGAAGTGTTCTGCCTCTCAACACTGCAAATACATGTTTGGATAGAATAGATGCTAACTGCAAACATCACATGTGGGGAAAAATACAGTGAGCTCTATGCTTATTAATTTAGCATTATGCTGAATGGTTGGGATAATGAAAGAAAACACTAAGGTGAAATAAATTTCAGGATGCATAACGCTATTTTTAAAAGTTGCCATAAAACAAGAATATCTTCAGGTCCATACTGTTTTGTTTGTCTCCACATCTCAAAATACTCACTAGGGCAAGAGGATGTTACTTTTATTGTGGTCATTGAACATGCTGTGTTTGATACTCTCTCCAGCCAGGAGTAAAATGAGGCATTCTTATAAAAATGTAGACTATGAGCCACATAACTGAAATAATTGCTCTTACTTCCTCTTCCTTAAAGTATTTTCTGTCTTTCTTATTTGTTGTCTTAAAAAATTTGCCTCATTCATTTATATTTTCTAATGGCAAATTACAAGATTATATCTAAGAAATGATATAAAACACACTCATCAGGGAGGAATAGAGGAAACAATATTTTACCAAATTCAAAGGTTTGTATCGTGGTTTTTCCCATATTTCTAGGAAGGACGGGAAGGAACAAAAATCTCTGAAGGCAATTTGATATCACAGATAATAATGGTAGTAAATCTATATGTATGCTTTCCTTGGATATTTTTACCCTGTTATCTTTTATTTATATTAATAAGAACACTTAAAATGACACATTAAAAACATTCCCTCAACATACATATTAATTCATTATCTGTGTAAGGATGCCAGGGGAAGATTGTTATTTTAGTCAACAAATTGATGATAATTATATGATTTCTCAGGTTTTCTGCAGAAATACAGTGATCGTGTGTTTGAATTATAAGTGACACATCGTAAAGAAACTGGAAAATCTGTTATTAGAAGGAATAATAAATACATGTAAAGTACCAAATATTAAGATCAAAGAGGCTAATTGCTTATTGTTTTTATGTAATAATTTATACTAATTTTTTAGCTAAAAAGCTAGCATAAAGGAATAAAACCATTTTAGTTAATGTGAGCTGCATGTTTTATATATCAAAATAACACACTATTGTAAGGAAAAAAAATATATAGCAGACGTATCTGAGGACTATGGATTTTGTGCCTTCTTCCAGAGAACATGTAAGTTAATTCACTGCATTTGAATTATTTACTGCAGTGTTTAAAATAAGAAATGTATCTAGTAAATTGCAAAAGACTCAATTAAGAAGTTGTGTGCACACACTCACACTCATACACACACACACACACACACACACACACACACACACACACACACACATTTTATAGGTAACCGTATAACAAGAAACGGTAGATAAGAACTCAGTAGGAAGGAGAGCAGCCTGCTGTAAGTTCTGAGGCAGTGGATGGACTAGCAGACAGGACTGCCTAGCTTTCCTTTAACACAGGGTCATTACTTCAGTTCAACTTAGAAAAAGTATTATAAAATACAAAACATACAATTCCCAGGAATAGGTACACCTAGCTGGTTAATATAAGAAGAAGACCAACTACTCAAATATTAATTGCAGTGGGTTTTATAGTCTGAGATTTTCTTATGGTGCCTGAATATTTACCAGGTAGAGCTTTTGCCCCTCAGTTAATTTAACAACTGACCATGGTACAAATAGAAAGGAAGAATCTTTGCATTTAGATATAAAAATTTCAAGGATCAAATAAAAGTCTTTTCCTTAGAAATGAAACAAAGAAGCAACAAAAAGGAAAATATCTGCACAAACACATGCCCATGGGACTGAAGTCTGATATTAAACCCTTACAGAATGCTAATCAGAATCTAAAATAAAAGCAAAACAAACAAACAAAAAGCAAACCATTTGTCCCCAAGAATCTGAAAGAGAGAAAAAAATTATTTAAGGCATAAGAAGTGTATGAAATAAAAGGTACCTACTTTTGCAGCAAAAACGTGTGTTGAAAAAATATGAGTTGCATGTGCGTGCCAAAGAATCTAGAAATCCATCTAACTCGTTTTCTTCACCGTGACAGGGAAGGAACACCTTTAGTTGCTTCTAAGTTTCTTCCTCTCTGCCTATTCCTTCTGTTTCCTCAGACCCTCTCCTGGCCAGTGTCTCTTCTATGTTAGGAGAAACAGAATACGATCCCCAGACAGACACACAAAATAAACACTCCAGAGCCAAAGAGAGATAGACCTGCTTCTTTTTTTCCCCCTGGTTTCTTGGGTTTTTTTGTTTTTGTTTTATAGATGTTGTTTTTTGTTTTTTAAATCAGCTCCTACATTCTGCCACAAAATTCAGCTTGTAAGTAATCCTGTGTTCCTTAAAGCTAGATGAAAAGACTACTCATTGAGAATTATATTTCATCCGTCACAATAACCTTCTTTATCCTGCCGTGGACCTCCCCTTTGCCTGTGGCAATTAGAGAAAATAGGTATGCCTTTAAGTATGAACTACTGGTTTCTTCAAATCAAACCAAACTGCTCCTGATGACACACGCACACAATGCTTCCTAATCACCATACTGGAGAGATGCATCTGAGACATCCTGAACTTGCAAGTTTCATAAAGACACAGTGAAACAGCGCCTTTGAGAATGAGCAGGTTGCATAGTCTCATCAGCCATTAACATCAGCTGTTGATGAACAGCAATAAATTTCAGTCATGTTAAAAAATGAAATGCAAAGACTTTTTTCATGTTTTGTGCTTTCTAGTTAAATCATGCCATGAGACAGACATTATAAATATATTTATTCAGTATGCTAAATCATAGTGATTTTATGTGCCTCTCCTAAGCACAATGACGTTATATGCTTTTAAGTGTATTTCAGTGCTTCCAAATAATACTTTTACTGATTTTCAAAGGGGGAGAAAACAAAGAAAACAAATTCCTTTCAAATACAGTTTATCAAACAACACTGTTCAACTTAAAAATCAATGTGATTATCCGGTTTACTTACTCTTATAAATCACTGAAATCACCTTGAGAGGCTCAAGTCCACCTTTCTGGATTTGAGCCTGTTAAGTAATACACAGCGTCAAATCGCCCCCTTAAAAGGGTAACTCAGATGTGCGGCTTTATAGGGTGTAGTAAAAGTTAGACCACCTCTACCTACAAAGCTACAAAAAGACCTTAAGACAGCTACAAAGGAAAACAAACAGATGACGGAAAAAAAAAAAAGTTCCGTTTTGACACCAAAACAAAATCCCTGCTGGTAAAGTATCGCAAGCAGTCACCAAAACAGCTGGATAAAGGCTTACAAATAATTTAAGCGAACACAAAATTCATCAAGTCTGAAGAAAGGAAAAAAAAAAATTCTTGAGAGTAAAATGAAAAACCTTTTGGCCCACAGCGCAGGTTGGACACAAAAGTGCTGGCTAAGCTATCTACTTCACACATGCAACGACAGAAGGTTCGATATTCATTCGATCGATGAGCAAAAAGGCACAATGGCAAAATCAGACAGACTTCTTTTCAAATACGGATCTCCAATGTCCCCCTCCAGTCTGCAGAGGCACGGCTGGTGGTGTGGCTCAGACAGAGCCAGGGTTACATCAAGGCTGCTCTCTGGACCGTGCAAACAGTCTAGACCAATGACCTGCAGCATCATGCCCTTTGAAGAAGAGGCAAGTTCGGTCATGATGAAGAAGAATCTCGAGGCGTACCCCCTTTTAACAATAGGGAGCAGCTCGAGGCTGCAAAGAGGTAAGCAGGGTAAGAAGAAAACAGCATCTGCTTCCATGGTTACAGGCCAGCTATGAGAACCTTGCTTTTCAAGGGAGTCTGTTCTCAGGCTCCCTCGTGGGGTATGCGGTGCATTATAAGCGAAGGCAGGTTCAGCTGAAATCGCAGAGTTATTTCAGAGTAAAATGATACGGAGCACATGGCTGGCAGGGAGAAAAAAAAACAAGTCACATGACTTAAGAACAAGACTTGGTCTGTTTTGCAATAGAATTTTTTTTTTCTTATACCAGTTTAGATTAAAAGAGTGAATTTGTATAAAACAAACAACGATGATAAACATGCTCTTAATGTCTTTAGTTTTTATGTGAACAAAGGTCAAGGGTCAAGACATTCTTCTCCCGGGGGCAGGACCAGGAAGCCTATTGTTAGTGTAGCTTTATGATGTATATTATTGTAAAAAGATTTCCTTTTTGCCAAACTGTAACCTGGATATGTATTTTTCTGAAAGTCTCTCTGACTTCATTTTCTCTGTTGCTGTAACCAATATTTCCCCGTTTTATGTTCATTTCTGTGGCTATTTCCCATTAGAAAACCTAGGAGGCTCCGGGAGAAACTTCCTCAGTACAGTGTTAGTGTTTTAAGAAGGTGCAAGGATTCTCCGGTCTTTACAAATGCGCTTGCAGAGAATTTAAATGCGGAGCAAACCCACAGCCTTGGCCAATTGTTCTGTTCTCTTTGTATTTCACTCCCAGCTTGCCTCAGTCGTCCTGTGAGTGCAGATGTAAAGTTTCCCTTTCTGTGGAATAGTCGACTAGCTACTGTTTGGACCTAATGATAGCCCAGCAGCTATGGACAAACATCTGACAAATATGAAATGTGGTGCATTCTGTATCATTAGCAAGATCCCGAGTAACCACATTAAAACACAGACATACGCATACTAACACAGAAAACAATCTTACTGCCACCTATCACAGTGCAATGTTGAAAGAGACCAGACAGTTATTTTGCACTTACATGTTTACAGATGTTTCATGCTATCTACCCTTTGAGCAATGTTTGCACACGTAGCATAAAAGTGGGGGAATGGGGAAGGAAACAGTGGTCCAAATGACAATGCACAAGGCATCTTCAGATTAATTTTGTAGAAGAGCATTTTATATTGAGTATGCCAGAGGAAATCGTGTCCTTCTTTGAAAACAGGTTCTCAACATCTGAGGTGGTAAATGGCTAAGAAATACAAACACCTTACTGTCGAAAGCTGTGTATTTTCCTGTAAAGGAGCACCACGTGGAATAGAATTTAAAAATTCATTTTCAAAATGCCTCCTCCAAAGGAACATGTTTTGAAGCTTCACAAAACCAACTGTTTGCGAACGTGGTTGTGACCATTCTGTTCTTTTCATTGAGAAGTCAGAAAACTGTTTTCTGGTGTGCTTCCCTATTGTGTGTCTTGTTTTGAGCTAGATGGACATGAGTTCATAAATATATGCATGCTTGAAGCTTTCTGTAAATATGTTGAAGTTCATCGTGTTTTACTTTACTTTGCTTATTTGTTTGCTTTTATATTAAGAGAAACATCTGGGGTATGAAATGAACCTTTGAAATATTGCTATTTTAGTATAGTAATCATCCACATATTAGTATAAGCAGCGAAAGAACATACTACATTGATGCAGCCACATTGCAGTTTATATAACAGAAAAAAATGTTAAAATAATTCAACATCAGAGAAACTCTGAAGTGCCAACTGATCATACTTCCTGCCAAAGGTCAAGTATTTTGTAATTGGAAAACTTACCTGTCAATTATCCAGAGGAAAGCTGAGCAAGCCCAAATACACCAAGGCTTGCACATTGAATTAAAATCTGTGAGCTGTGGTTAAAGGAAAAAGACTATTCCAGAGTGTCTGGTGTGAGGTTAATAACTGGATTCTCTTCTATCCATCATGTTAACCTTCAGCCTACTCTTGCCCTTTTATTTTCAAAACTTTATTTCACTTTATGAAAACATATGTAAACATAAACTTAAGAAATATGGCTATCCAGAAACACTTGGAAACATTCTCAGAGTCAAACTATCAGCTTATAAATTAGTCACTTGTTATATTAATATATACATGAGGATATTTAATATTGAATAGTTAGGGACAATAATAGGTTTTTTCCATAAAAATTCTCTTATCTGAGGTACCAAATGGATAATTAGTACCAATATTGTATGTAATGATCAACAAATACCGCACTCATATCACAAGTTATGCTGGCTGGAAATATTTCTTTAAATTCAACTTTAGAGTAATTATTATGATACCTCCATCACAATATTTTTTAAAAAAATGAATCTTGTACCATGTAATACTTATCCATAAAATTAAGACATCAAACCTTCCTGTTGCCTCAATGTGTGATAATGTCTTCAATATAGCATGTGCTCAATAAGGATCTCCTACAAGAGATAGGGCAGAATCATCCACATTTGAATGCACATTATTTTCAACTTCTAATGACTTCTCTATACAAGTGAATACTATTTTATCAACAATATGTGATTACTAGATGCCTACTATGCATTCCTAATTGAAGGGTATGATTACAGCCTTCTTAAACACGGCCCTGAAATATTATTCTAATGTCATTAGTGGATATTATAAGGGGGAAAGGAATAAAATAAATGTAAGGTGGTAATGCAAACCACATACATAGTTTTCATGTATTAAAATAGATTTGCGGTACATGGTTTTTATGAAATTTAACATATCAATGTGCAGAGTACATCCTTAAGAAGGACATGTAGCTGGTAAACATTTTACCAAATGATTTAATCAACTGTTTATGAGATGATTAACCTAATTTCATGATCAGCTGAAGTTGACTTACAGTAGCTAGAAGTACCAATTTATGTCTTCTGACACTTCATTTTCACTGACAGAATTTTCTTTAGCTTGAGACCAGCTGAAACAGAAACATCTCTGACAGAAACACTGGTGCTAAGAGAGCATGGGTTTGGCTTCTTGTCTTTCTTGGAAAATGGTCGTTTTACCACCCCCCTGCAGCCTGGTTTCATCTCTGCTTCTCTCTCTATAGGTTAGTCACGACCACAATGATACAAGGAAGTTCAAACTCCCTGAAGTTCAAAACTACTGAAACTAATAGTAAACACTAGACAGAGAAGATTGACAGACACTGGACAGTAACTTTTCTTTCAATGTCTAGCTATTGTATCAGAAAGTTATGTTGTTGTATTTTTATTTATTTGGATAGATAAACATTTGTGTTTATCCTTATATACTACTCCTATCAAAACAGTAATATAATGGCCAGGTGTGCTGGCACATGCCTACATTTACTTCAGTCAGAGGATAAGGTAGAAGAGCTGAAAGCCTGAGGCTAATATGGATGTAGTGAGACTGTTTCAATAAACATAGAGAGAAAACAGTTATGTCCTCCAATATTCAAATGTCACATCAGAGCTAAGTGATGCCTTAATGACAAGATTTTAAAAACAAACAGACATCTTTTAAAGGTGTTGGTAGCCCACCCTTGACTCATTAGCTTTTGTCTTAGGAAGTTGACATGAGGAATCTCTTAAAGCAGTGTATGATTATATAACATATCACTTAATTTTAGGAATTTTACCACAAGCATTGACGTCATTTATACATTGAGTTAGATTACTTAGAGGTAAGCAAAGTTATAAAAAAAACCCATGAATTATGAAGCTTCTCTTTACCATTTGACAGATAAACCATTCTATTACCAACTGATTTTTACACAGTAATTGACTGAGGAGAGGTTAGATGTCCACCTCTAAAAGGTGGGTGTCTGAAAAAGGTTAGATGTCTGGAAAGCCAATAAATAACCCACAATCCTGGATGGATTCAGTCCTCAAGTTAGAGCCATGTGTTCTTGATGACAGGTTTTGAAAGGTATCTGGGACTCTGCTTTGAACAACACAGGGTGACATTCATAGGACAGTTCTGATTTACGTTGTCAAAGCACACACCCTAAACACCAAGCACTTCTTGTTCGTATGCCACACAAATGTGGTTAAATAATCCGTCTATGTTGATTCATATATTGGACTGGTCATTGGAAATTAAAACTTACCTAACACATGCTCTTGAATTTGA